TCCTCAAGCAAAGGGCTGCGAGAGGCTGCCAGGCCACGGATGAAAATGAGGATCGGTTTTACAGTCCACGTTAGCACAGAATAGCAGCACAGAATTGTTTCCCCTTCTTTCTCTCACTCTGGCTCGCTCTGCCTTGCTCACTCTCTCTGTGATACTTGTCAATAGAGAAACGTTTTAAAGAAATTCTGTTTAATTTGGATTCTCAGCCCGGAGATGATGCTGTAACAGCACATGGTCAGCAGTCACCAGATGTGGCATTGCCCCGTTTTCTCTCCGCTGTCGAATCTTCCCTTGAAGGATCAATCAGCCCCCACGCTATTCTCTTTTACCCCTGGTGTTTTACTTCTTCCACTTGGAGTTGTTAATACACTGACTCCTACAATTGATTGTGAGGACGTGTCTTTCCAAGTCAGCCTGTATCACGAGGAAAAAGTAACAGTCAAAAGAATATTGCTGTGACATATAAAGATCAATGAAGGAATGGAGAGATTATGGAAATGGTCATAGGACAATCTAACACATACACATTAGATTATTTAAGAGCAGCTGCAGAGAGGTGGAAGGCAAAAAAAAAAAAATGAGCGGCCTGGTCTGCTCTGAGGTGGACCCTATTTACACACAGGAGGGGGCACCTGTGTGGATGGCCAAGATGTCTACAGAAGATGAGATTCTGCCTCTTATCAGGGTGAACAGGACTCCCGGAGTCTGCGAGGGAAGCTGGGGAGTATAGTCTTTCAGCAGAAAACTATCACTTCTAACTCTGAGAATGTATGAAGTTACAGGGCACGTGCATTAAAGCTGTTTTCTGCCGAGGAGGGTCTTTGTTGGAGAGGACAGTGCCGGGTCACTGAAGAACAGGTACTCTGGTCTTAACTCTATCCGCTGGGATAGAGCAACTGATCGCTGTCCAGGCTCCTGAAGAGACTTGGAAAACAATCATTAGAGATGCTGTAAGAGGATGATTTGGTTGTAGAGCAGGACTAAAGATTTTCTGGGAGTGTAGTTGAAGGGGAAGGGGGGGGACAGAGTGGGACAGTCAGCCTGAGCGACAACAGGATGAGTCTCGGGAGAAAGGTATCCGGATCAGGGGAAGAAGCAAAACTGTGCAAAGCAAGGCTTGGTAACAAAATCCTCAAGCAAAGGACTGCGAGAGGCTGCCAGGCCACGCATGAAAATGAGGATCGGTTTTACAGTCCACGTTAGCACAGAATTGACTATAGAAAGTGACTATAGAGTTGATTCAGTGTGACAACGACTGGTCCCAGTGCCATGACAGTGTGCTCCAAAGTGAGTAGCCGAAGTCGCAGGGAGATAAAGCCTCCAAAGAAGGGGCCAGGAGCAAACAGTGGACTAATGAAAAGGACTGTATCTGGTTGGGGTTGAAGGGGAGGAAGCTCTCTGCGAGCCAGCGTTTCTCCATAGCATCTTTTTGTAGATGTATCGGGAACAAATGGAACTGTCACAGAGTAAAACCTATTGGGAAAGCTTATGTGGAACATTTTGTTTTGATATAGGCTGAAGTTCGGTTAAGTAAATCATTTAAAGACAGTGTTAAAACGTAAGTATGAGTATAAGGAGACAAGGAGTGATCCAGGCAGGAGCCAGAGTGTGAAGGACATAGAAGCAGAGACACAGGAAGAGAGTTGTGGCTGAATAACTTTTTTTTTCTTGGTCCCTATATCTAGACCCCATTTCATTCCAGTTAAGATTTGCTCGTGTGGATGCAGCATTGTGCACAGAGAAGAGTGCAAATCCCATCCTTAGCAATAGTTAGACGTTCTCCTTTTTGATTTTAGAGTACCTTAGTAGTCAAGGAGTCCAGTCCTTGTTAGCTGATCTGAGCCGTTGAGTCAGAGAGTTAGTTGTTGCAAAGAAGGCTTCAGTCCAGCTGATTCAGTTCTGAGGCCCTAAAACAATGTCCAAAGTGGCAAGAGGGATGAGCTGGATGTCCCATTTGTCCTTTTTTCAGAGGTCACCTGAACCGCTTTTAGGGATTTGGGGCACTGACTTCTTCTGTAATTGCGTCAAGGCTGATGAAAGGGCAATGAAAGCAACAGTTACAGTGCCTCAGAAGAGGGTCCATCAAAGGGGCCACGATGAAACTTAACAGCTGGCAAAGGTCCAGAATGTACGCCAGGAGAGAGCAAATGTGCAGCTTTGTGAGGAACATTAAGAGCTACAACATTTCATTCCACATACTCAGCCAATAGATGGATGAAAGATGAAAGCACTTAATCATGTCAAACCTATAATCAATAGCTTCCAGCTAACCTGGGCTAAATTGACAAAGCAGGCTATAGCCAGCTCTACTAATGAACTAATCTCCAGTATACCACATACTAACAGTAATAAGCATTACTGTTTTTGTTATTTAAGCATTATTCTATTTTAAAATAGATTCGTTGTTTAAACCATAATTTGTATAACAAGACAACCAAACTAAATGTGCATTTGGCTTTTGGCGTTTCTTAGAAAATATGCACAAGCATCACTGCCAAAGCCTGTTTAGTCTCTGTAGACTTCAAGGTGGAGGCACGGCCCTGGAGCTCTGTATTGAGGTAGAGGTCACATTATATTCCGAAAAGGCCACAAGTGAGCCCTGGTTGGAGAGAACCCCTTCCCCTCAGTTATCAGCTTCTGAAGACGCTGAGAGTGTCGTATATCACTTAATAGTCATTTGTTGACTCGACAGTTACAAACCCAACTGTCAAAGACACACTTGGGTATTCTGAATAACTTCCCAAGGCTGTGAGGTTGATGACAGAGTACCTGGAGTCCTTTCATGGGGACACTGGTGGCTAAGGTATAGATCATTTGCTAAGAGGAAGGGAGCCAAGGGAAAGGCTATGCTGGCTGGTTTTATGTCAACTTGTCACAAGCTAGAGATGTCTCAAAGGAAAGAGCCTCGAGTGAGAAAATACCTCTATAAGATCTGGCATTTTCTTCTTTAGTGATTGATGGGAGAGGGCCCAGTCCAGTGTGGGTGGAGCCATCCCTAGGCTGGTGGTCCTGGGTTCTTACAGACAGCAGGCTGCGCAAATCACAAGGAGCGAGCCGGTAAGCAGCACTTCTCCATGGCCTGTGTGTGCACCAGCGCCTGCCTCTAGATTCCTGCCCTTTGTGAGTTGCTGCCCTCACTGCTTTTGATAAGTGAAATAAATCCTTTCCTCCCCAAGCTTATTGGTCATGGTGTTTCATTGCAGCAATAGAAACCCTAACTAAGATAGTTGTTTTAGTTAGATATTTTTCTACAACAATCAGAAAAGAAATATACAAGTATAAGCCATAAGTTCTTTGCTCTTACACAAATTTTTATAAGGTGGTTATAAAAACTAAAACTTTGTATTAAAAATCCCTAAGTTTGGTTTCTAGGTTTAAAACAAAACAAACAAAAAAAACAAAAAAAACAGACTGGCAAGGAACAGCAGTGGTAAATGAAAGTAAGGAGATAAGAATTGTCCTGATGTTCCAGGGATATCATGCTAATTACTGCAGTGTTTTCAGGGGGAGACATCCCTAGAGCCATGTCTGTGAGACCATACTTTGAAGGCAGTCCAAATGACACACTGGGCTTTTTCTTATATCTGAAATGCAAGTATAACAGCATGTAGCCAGGTACTTAACTGAAACATCAATATCATATCAATGCCAACCAAATAAGTAGCACAATAATTTTACATCAAGCCATGAAAAACAGCTTTCTGTCATTAGCTTACACTGTATTAACCTGTTTTCCCTCTTGAAGTCAAATTACAATTTCCTTCTGTGGTTAATGATATCTTACATTTTTATTTTTACTGAATAATTTTGTTGACAATTATGCATATGTGCATTTTACATATATATATATATATATATATGTATGTATAAGATATTCTGATTACATCAACTCTATCTGCACATCCACTCCCACCCACTCCCACACCTATAGCTACTCCCTTCACCCTCCCCAGCCCCTTGTCCAGATTTATGATATCTAATTTCTATTTTTGTGACCTATTTAGTGTGATCATGGCCACCTGTCCAACCACTTGATTGAGCTTATCCACTGGAACATAGTGAAGTCACTGGTGGATACACAACAGAGGCAATGAATCCTTCTGTCACTTAAGCTGTCAGTAATAAACAGCTCGAGAGTCGGGGCGGGGCTCCCAAGCCCTGCTCATCCAAACAGGGCTATTCGGAAACCTGTTCTTTGGCAGACCAGCCCTAAAGGCTGCTGTGACTGCAGTGGTTGTGTCTTTCCAAGAGGAAAGCTTTTTCTGCCTTTCTCCCGTCTTCCAGTACTTCCAGTCTTTGGGCCCCCAGATTTCCTGCTTGAGGACTGATTTGGGGCACTGCATCCCTGATCTGGGCAAAAAGTTCTTCGTAGTCAGTGGGTTAGTGGAGACTGAATTCCTGAAAGAATTCTTGCCTGTGCTCCAAGCTGGATGCATTTTCAGTGAACTGTTCCTCAGCTGCCTGAAGACAGGGCCTGACCCGGCCGTTGCCTCTATGCTGCCCAGGTCACAGGGATCTCAGGCAAGGCTGGGCCTCTAGAGCAGTGTGTGCACAGGAAGGATATCTGGCAGCCTCTGCGAGAAGAGGCTCAAGTGACTGGTTGGGACCTTCCCTAGAGGTGCCACATTAAACTCTAATAGCAGCTGCATCGTCATGGGGCTCTTTGCTTTCCAGTTGCCTCCATGTGTATCATCTCACCTCACGTCTACTGCAATGGAACAGTGTCTGTTCACGGATGAAATACAGGATCAGTATGCGGACAGGCACATTTCAGGAAAGTATTACTTTGCTGAGCAAAGGTATTTAGTAGGAAATGACTGGCTCCCCTATCAAAAATTAAAAAGGGATCAGCTTCTCGCAGTTTCTTCAGCCCTCTGCTTGGCTGCTTAAAGTTCATCAGAGCAGCTTTGCCTATTATGTCCTTTAAGAAAACGTGGCTTCCTTCCCCTCCTGTTCATCTTTTCGGTCCTGATCTGTCCCTCTGTCTTGCCTACTTGCAGGTAAGCCCCACGCCTGGCTGCATCAGAGCTCTCATGAAGATGCTGTACTGCCCATACTGCCGAGGCCTGCCCAGTGTGAGACCTTGCAACAACTACTGCCTCAACGTCATGAAGGGCTGCCTGGCCAACCAGGCGGATCTGGACACTGAGTGGAATCTCTTCATAGGTAAGGGGCACTCAACAGGCCAGCCACAAAGACCTGAGACCGAAGAGTGATTGTGATACTGATGTTTCCGCAGCTTCAGAAGTTATGATGGCTCATAGAGAAACTGAAATAGCTTTTCAGCAACTTAAAAACATTATTTTGCAGTTTTCCCCTTTGTCAAATCCTCCAAAACAGGACTTCCTTGTATTTTTCAAGTAACTTCTTCCTAGAGATATGCAAGCCAGAAGTATTCAGTTGGTTTATTTTACTGAGTTTGAGTTTCTTGAAAAAGAACAAGTTACCAGAAAATTTTATCAGGGGGCGGGGAGGACCACCTAAGTGAACTACATTAACAGGGGCAAAGATTTTGCAAAACAATTCCTGCAACTGCCAGAATGAAGAGAGCTCAGTGTTTTCACTAACATGCATCAATTTCCCATCCCATCCTAGAGACAAAAATGGCTCCCCGCACAGGAGGGTTTCAGAAGGTAGCAGGGAAGATGAGGGCATGCAGGAAAGGTTCTTCATCGTAGCTCTTCCTGAAGATATTTCCCAAATAGCTCTCTAAGGATAAGAGGACAAATTTCAGGGGCAGGCTTCTTCCAGGAAAATATACAAGCCTTGAAAGAGTAAATGTGTTTTCTTCCCTTCTGTCAAATGGCCTTCAAGTAAAAGTACTTTTAGTTGCATTTACTGCAATTACAGAGTGACAAGCTCAGAGTTGAAAATAGCAGCTGAATTTGTCAGCCTCAGAGAGCCTTCATCATTTATGCACACCTCCAAGCAGAATGCACCAGGAGGGTCTTCTGGAAGCTCAGAAGATTTGGGGGGAGGGCATGAAAAGGGACTAAGCTGTGTTAGAATTTAGGAATACTTATAACTGCACCAGTGGACTGTAATTTTACAGACACACAGCTGTGCCAATGAAACTCCTTGCCTGCATTATTACTTTGTTTAAGAAGACCAGAGAAAATATTTCTGAAATTTAAAGCAGAAAGTACATTAAGCAGGAAGTCACCTAAGAAATTCTCAGGAACATTTCAGAATAGGTAACTTCAAATATGTTTGCTAAATTGTTTTCACTGGGGGATACATCATTGGGACTAAGTTACTTTATATGAAAACACAGTGACATGATTCTTTGCTAACATTTTGGAGTTGTGTAAGAATAAATATGTTCTCTGCAATCTAAGATTTGGATTAATTGTAGCAAAGAAAGAGTACCCCAATCACGTATTTAAAAAAATGTAATTCTCACCCAAAAGAAATCTAAAAAAGAGTTTCATATTTTTAAGTTAAGATAAACCTTCTAGAGTCCCTTGAAATTATATAGATCATTTATACTTTTGGGTTGAAATTGCCAAGTACTAATCTTGCCTTTAGTCAAGCTGAGCAACTAATGACAGTTGGTGTATGGATTTTCTTGTATAGAATATGGCATGATTAAGAAGGTAAAGCCTTTTTAAATTGTAAGAACAGTAGTTACTCTTAATGTCTTTTTACATTTATGCATTGCTTGTATATATATTTATGCCAAAGCACTCATGTGGAGGTCAGAGGAAAACATGACTGTATTGGGTCTCACTCCTTGCACCGTATGAGTTCCAGGAATTGAACTCAGGCTTGGTGACAAATGCCTTTACCCACTGAGAGATTGTGAAAGCCCATAATAGTTAGTCCTTAATGGTTTTTCCCCCTTAGAGCTCACTGGATATCCTAACATGAAGCAAATCGTTGTAGTTTCAATATACTGTGTTGTTAGGTAACAGGCTGATGTAAAATTTAATGTCTAAAACAAAATCAGTTGAATTTTTTAAAAACTAAAATATGAGTTCCCCATGTGTTGGTTATATTTTACTGATAAGTAGAATTATGGTTAGTCCAAGTGGATTAATTACAAATGCTTCCTTTTCCTCTCCTCTTATCAGTCTTAGTGCTCCACAAGGTAATTCTTCTGGGTTTTTTTTCCCTCCTGTTTTGCTATGGTATTGAGAATTCCTCACCAACATAGACCTGCAGAGCAAAATATATACTTATCTGTATTTGCAATATTAGTGACACATTTGTTAGGTGTATTTGCCAAAAGTGCTAATTCCATTTTCCATACAGATATACCCAAAATTACAGTGTTACAGTGTCCATAAAAGCTGTAACAAAAATCACAAAAAAAAAAAAAAAGTCTATCTTACACGGCTGTGCACCTGAAGCCTTCCTCTCCTGCCTGGTACCTACTCCTACTCCTCAAACCCTGCACTTCTCTTATGGCTGGTTTGTATCTGCAATTTACACTGGCTATGTGAACTGGTTAGACCTTTCAGGATATTTTTCTTTAATTATTATGTATTCATCTAAACTATTGACTGTGGCACTCTGTCAGCTGTCGGAAAAACAGCCATCTCAGTGATGGTTCTCATGATCTTTGCAATGTCAACACTTAATTGAAAAGGATAAGTATTTAGAATTCAGTTGGTGTCTGGATTGTGTCAGAAGAAAGACAATTCATGTCTAACATGAGGTATTTTGAGTGATCAAGTGAAAACCCGAAAGGTATTCCACCCACTTCTGAAGTCCTATGGTTGTGGTGCTGTTGTTTTCCTTCAATCTTAGAAAAACAATCAGAAGTCTATTCAAGATTCTTTTCTTAGTCCAACTCCACCAAGTTTAACTAGGAGCCTTCTACAGAGGCAACACTTAAAATTCTTACCAAGATCATAAGGAAAAGGAAGAGCTCAAAATTTATTAAAACAAAACTTTAATTTTTAAAGTTGCTACTAGACCAAGGTGAATCTGCTTAAAAAGCATCAGTTAAGCAGTTTAGCAAGTGTCTTAACCTGCCCTCTAGCAGCCTGTGGAATCTTACAGAATAAAACACAGCCCACATTATCCTTGTTGATCAGACAGAACAAACGGGTGATCTATGATCACCCTGACCTACACTCTATCCATGAGGAGCATGAGAGTCGTTTCCAGCCCGATCTTACACTCAACAATGGCCGGGAGAAAGTTCTAATTGGAGGCACAGAGGCTCAGCTGGGGCATTTAGCCCAGCTGTTTCTTTGTAGGCACACACCATTTGTCCCGTCCACATTTCTCAATGGTGCCTAGGTGCAAAATGATTTTCTTAAAAAAAAAAAGTCTGTTTAAATTAATTTAAAACTTTCACAAGGGATCGGTTTGTGTGCAGAACTCATTTTAGTAACATCCTGTGGTTATGTTGTATATTTAGTGATGATACCAGGAATCTACAGCTAAGAACTATCCTGTTTGACAAAAGGCCATGGTACAAATCACACCTAGAGCATAAGCACAGAAATCAGACATAAAGTTACATTTAAGTGGCCATAATAAATCTTGCATATACTTTAAAACTATGGTTTGGTGAGACAGTCTCCTCCAAACATCTGGTACCATTAGAGAGTTTATTGACTATGGGAAGAAAAAAAATGTGTCTCTTAAAAAATAAAAAGCTGTTGGTATGAGAGGAGAAAGATTACTACAAGAGGCTGGGATCTATTTCGCTCTAAGCTTTTTAATTGCTAAAATCATGTCCAATGCTTCCTATCTCAAGAATTTATAGAAGAGTGTCAGGTGCTTTTGATCCAATTGTACAGCCTAATGGTTAGATTAATCCAGTCAATATTACTTTAGTGTATTAATTCAAAACACTGTATTGAATGTGTTATATATATATATATATATATATATATATATATATATATATATATATACTTTTACCTATAGAGAATTTAATGTGGCTTATTATGATACAGTATCAGGATAATAGAAAATTAGCATACTAGATGCCTACTCAGTAAAAAGTTTTAGCTAGGCTCAGGGAAGCCTTTCCTGGGTAAATATAGAAATAAATAGTAAATATCACAGTATCAAATTAGCATCATCTAATAAAACTGATGTTGAATGGCAATAGCATATATAATTCTTATGTTTACAAGTATCTGTCACAGTTTCAGTAGGTCTGACATGGTCTGTCTGTGGTTCTCAAAATACTTGGTTGCTTTTATTTTTGATACTTTTTGTAATCAAATCTCACTACTACTGACTTTAACTGATGGACTGTATAAAATAGAATTACTCTGTTATAGGAAACATAGATGGGAACAGATTTAGATGTAAGTTAGAAATAAAGATCCATACCATATCTTCAATAAGGAGAAAAGCATCACAGAAGCTTATTATCTGTTAGGCCTTGGACACTCAAAAAAGAATTGACAACCAGTGTGATCAAACTTTCTGGGCTTCAGTTTTTTCCAGGCTGGTCAATAAGTTCCAAGACAGCCCAAATGTAGGGAAACTGGTGAGTCTGTCAGTTATGAACCTGCCACATCTCTACCAGGCCAAGGGACTTGCTGTAGAGTCTACTCCCTCCTTCCTTCGTTAATCCAATGTGTGTTTACCCAAAGCCCATGACCACTCTTGCTTTGGTGTAAGCATGTGATAGAGCAGCAGATAGGGCCAGCTCCCTCTTGATGAGAGCCATAGTCAGCAGCATCTACTCTGGCTGGAATGAGTGGAAACTAGACAGGAATGTTTAAGGCAATATAGAGTCATTCCTGTTTTCCTGTATAGGTCTGCTACTTTTAATGTAATTCTGAGTTACTGAGTAATTTAAAAATCATGTATTCATGTTGTTAATGGAATTGATAAGAGCAGGGATTGTTGAAACAGATCAGATAAGGAATACAGACCTTGCACTATGATAGCTGCTGCTATCAACTTGTAAGCTAAGGCCAGCAGCAAAGACACACTTTAGGTCAGTTGACTGACGAGTGTTGTATAATAAAACTAAAACTTTGGAATACAAATGTTTTTCTAAGAACATAAGAGAATAGTCTTTAATGTAAATCATATATACTCTTCTTTTTGTTGGCAAAAATGATGTTGGATAAGCCATATTTTAAGTTAGAAGATAAGCATTTGGTTTTTTTTTTCACAGCAAATAAACACGGATTTTGTTTTATAAAGTGTACAAGACTATATGATGTCTGTCTTTTAGACAGCTA